CCTCTTATTTAGCAGGGGAGATAAGCCAAAGGTTGAGGAACATAAACTGCTTGAATATTTTCCATCACTAACTTAATATTCACGTGACTTTTGAAAATAAATATGAGTTATTAAAGGACAAATAAGAATTGGTAATGATTTGAATGTTTACTATAGGTTTAATTGCCTCACGTTTCTGTAAAGAACAGTCTACTTTGTTATTTATTTCAGATATTCTCGTTTGATAGTTTTAATAAAGCCAGTTAGGTAATACACAATTTGTAGAAAAGAAGAAGGAATCAGTGTGTAAAGCATTGGTTATGTGGCAGTCAGTATGCTCGTACTTTACATCCCTTAAATCCATTTAACAACCCAGTAATAGGGTTGATAATAGGGATGGCAACAAAGATCATAACAATGCATTTTATTGCTAACTATACGTCTGGGAGAACGGTGAACTTAGTGGTTAAGATTGGGACCGAGGATGTAGGTTGGCATTGTTCAAATCCCAGTGTCAGTACTTAGATTCTGGGTTACCTTGGAAAAAGTGTTTATTATTCCCCAAATTTCAGTTTCCTTTTCTATGAAATGGAAATTATATTTGACCTAATGTGTAAGGTAGTTCGCAGATTGACCCGTATGTAGCACTAATATAAAGTGCATGACATATTGGGTACATGTAGTGAGGTAGCTGCTGCTGCTTCTCCATTTCTACCTGGTTATTATTCATCTGCACAACCATAGTTGTCTAGATACTATTTTAGCATTGTATGGCCAGACTGTGGATTAAAGAACATAGGTAACTAGCTCAAATTTCCACAGCTTAAATGAATCCATGAGTCCCTGTCCCCATATTCCATATTGTTTCTCTTCTTGTGCATCCTACATTCACAGAAATGACTACTTCTGTCTCTTTCCCCTGACTACTAGGTTATCATTTCTGTCCCTCTGGCAGTTTCTGAGAGTAATAATTTAAATTCTTCAAAAGTAGATGTGAATAAGAAACTGGGCAAAACAGTACCAGGTTACGAGATTCCCTAGGATTACTCAGCCTGAAGTCTGATACTGGGCAGAGGTGGCCCCGGTAGCTGGTACATAAAATCTAAAATCTTTCCTTAGCCTTGAGACTAAGGTTATTGCTTTAGGTTTGTTTTTTAATTTGTGTCAGTGTAGGATTTTATTAAGAATTAGATACCAATTATGTAATGTAAAATTATGTAGGATAGTTTTACCTGGAGTAGTACAGTAGTATACCTAGCATTCTGAGATGGAATACCACAATATAGGAATAAATTCCGAAAAGGGTTTGGCAATGATTCACAAACAATGGCTATTTCTACAGGCTGTGTGTGTGTACACGCATTTGAAAGCATAAAGAATGAGCATAAACAGTATTGTGTGGTTGTTAAGAGGATTTAAAGGAATGGATGCTTGGTTTCAACTGCCTGGGTTTGACTCCCTGCCCTGCAACTACTGACTATATGGAGTAGTTGTTAACCTCTGTGTTTCTTAGTGTTTCATCTGTAAAATGAGATAGTAATAGTATCTACCTCATGTACCTCATAATGTTGCAACAGGCTTTAATTAACCAGTATTTGGAATAATGTTGGCACTCATTTAGTGTCCAATCAATGGTGGTAATTGTTATTTTCCTCTGACATATATGTGGACCTCTGACTCTAAAACCAAAACTAGTATTATTGACACATTATATATGAAACAGAACTCTCTAGGCTACACTGGGAAAATAACTAGCATTCACTGAAAGTCTACTTTGGATTTCCAATGATGGTTTTGTGTAGGGACTTTTGGAAGATGATCCATTTGTAAGTTAGAAACTGCCAGCTTATATTTTTTCATGTTACAAAGTACCACCATCTGCAGTTATTACATTTGAATGACCTTGGTCAGAGTTTATCTTGGGATAAGGTCTCTCAGGGTAAGGTCTTGACTTACAGTGCAGATTTCAGAACTTATGGGGGGAAATAACAACAATAAATTTTTGTCACTAATATTTATTTTGGATATACAATATGCCATGTACTCTATTAACATTTTACATACATTATCGATGCAGTTGAAAAATAGTTTTATGAAACTATTACTCTTATCCTTTATAATCCCACCATAATCCATTCCTTCAATTGCTTTAAGAGTTTTTAGCAGTTAGAGCATCCAAACCCTAACTTCCGGTTTCAATTAGAATGAAATCCGATGTCTATATCAGAGGCCTACTCTACTTCTCCATCTGGCTTCTGTCTAGCTTTACCACCTGATTTCACAACACTGTCATTCCACTGCTCATTTTGTTCCAGAAGTATTGGTTTCCTTTCTTTCTTGACCAGTTCTATTGGCTGTTTCCTGTCTTAGGGCCTTTGTCCTAGCTGTTTACTTTTCTAGGAAAGCATCAAGATCTTTGGTTCCATTTTATATTAATAATTCTTGCCTCTGCTCAAAGTGGCCTTCCATGGCAGTCTAAATCAAGTAGTCTCTTTGCCCTCTTCTGTCCCATTTTCATTTTTCTTTAATTGAAAACATTAGTCACTAACTTAAATGTATTAACTTATATATGCTCTTATTGCCTCTCTTGTTTTGATCATGTAAATTCCATGACTGTGGGATCATTTCCTTTGTTTCTCTGGCTCACTGTACCTAGAAAAGTATTTGGTATATATAAACTATTCAAATATTTGTTGAGCGAATGACTGGGTGAAGTTTAGAAGAGTTACAAAATATGTCTCTTATCTTAGAGCTAGTAAATAAAGTGGCAAAATTCAGTAATATTTGAATCTAAAGCCTTGATTTTAGAGGCTGAAATCATATGACATATAAAACGCATGAGCAGCAACTTAAACAAAATTCTAAGACAAAAGTGATGATGTAATAGTTTTTTTGAAATTTGTTTTATTTTGTCAACCTTTCTGCAAGGAGGAAATAACATGCTTTACTTCCTATTGCACCTTTACTTCCCATGCAAATGAATTTCTGTCAACAGTGATGTTCTGGGTCAGTCATTTCTGTCTTTGTTAAAAGTTAGAAAACTTGCTTGTGCTATTCTGCCTGGCTGCTGACTAATGGGAGAATTCCCCAAATAAAGGAACTCTGGCATCTGGTCCCCAGGGCTATGTGAGTGGAGGAAAAAAAAAAATCTCCACAGTTATACCAGAAATATCTAGGTTTTATTATTTCAGAATAATGCTAATTGCAGTAGGTTATAGGTCCAAAATTTAAGTCATTTAACATCATTTAAGGATAGGTGAAAATGCATTTTGAGCCTCAGTGGCAGGTAAAAATATGAACTCCAAAAACATAGGCTGTCATTATAATAATTATTATAAAATATTTTATTTCTAAAAAGTATTAGAAATATATTACAAAAACAATAGGAAGTTTTTTCCTCTTCTTACTCCTCCTCCTCTTCTCCTTTCTTGTGTTAATTTTATTCACTCATAGTATAGGTAATTTTTTAGAGGAAAGGAAACTTGGGTATCAGATATGTCAAGTAGCTTTCAAGTTGTACAATTTACAGTTTTAGCCAAGAGAAAGAGAGAGAGGGAGGGAGTACGGAAGGGAGAAGAGAGAGAGAGAGAGATTGAGAGAAAGAGAGAGAGAGATTGATTGCCTTAATGGTTTTTCTGATCTTAAATACAAAAATATCCCAGAAATGTGTGTCATTGACCCAGCTTTGTCTCAGCCAGCTCTTTCCAGGGGAGGGCCAGGTAGAGGAAAGCAAGGTGGATAAGCCTGTGAGTCTCCATAATTTTGTGTGCGTGTGCATATATAATTTATGTATAATTCATATATAACCATACAAAAAATCTCCCTAATTAAAATGCAAAGGTAATCTTGATACTTGACAGGAGTATTGTATGCCAAGCAAAGACTTAGACATAGTGTTAACACTAACACATAGCATTAGGGAAATAAAAGATATTCACTGGCCTCCAAGATCTCATAATGAAATGTGGGGTATATTAAAACAAACAACAGTTATAAAACCTTCCCTGTATTTCTTTTTCTTAAGAGCATAATGTTATATATGCTGTTTATAGAATTTTTTTGTGTGTTTGGGGTGGAAGTCCATGGAAGAATTTAAACAAGAGAAAAGCCACCCTGTCCCTCTTTGAGGCTATTACTGATAATATGTTTATATATGTCATTCTAGTTGCTTTATGGAATAATTTGGTTTTTTTCATGGTCATGATCATAATTTATATACACTTTCTGTTTTGTGGTCTTTTTTTTTTTTTTTTTTTTGAGACAGAGTCTCACTCACTGTGTTGCCTGGGCTAGAGTGCCGTGGCGTCATCCTGGCTCACAGCAACCTCAAACTCCTGGGCTCAAGCGATCCTCTGGCTCAGCCTCCAGAGTAGCTGGGACTACAGGCATGCGCCACCATGCCCGGCTAATATTTTCTATATATTTTTTAGTTGTCCAATTAATTTCTTTCTATTTTTAGTAGAGACGGGGTCTTGCTCTTACTCAGGCTGGTCTCGAACTCCTGAGCTCAAACAATCCGCCCGCCTTGGCCTCCCAGAGAGCTAGGATTACAGGCGTGAGCCACCGCGCCTGGCCTGTTTTGTGGTCTTTACTTAACATTTTGAGCACAATTTTGTGATTCAGATTCAAACTATCAATAGAGTGATGTGGAGAAGAAGAGTAACTGGGAATTTCTATGAAGATGTCCTTATTTGAATTGGAGGAGTTTTGTTTGCTTATTTGTTTTTCTGAGACAGGTTCTCCCTTTGTCACCCGGGCTGGAATGCAATGGCCTAATCATAGTTCATTGTAACCTTGACCTCCTGGGCTCAAGCAATCCTCCTTCCTTGGCCTCCCAAAGTGCTTGGATTATAAGTATGGGCCACCATGCCTGTCCTGAATTGGAGTTTTAAGAAATAGACTCTTCTAGGCATAGAAGAGGGAGAGCATTCATGCTATTTGTTGTTTTGTTATTTTAACTTGTCAAAAGTACTGTCAAAAAAGATTTGAAATTATTTTAACTTTCTCTGTGAAACTTGGAGACAATAAAAATAAAATCAGTGAGCAATTATTGAGTTGATTCATCCAGAGGCTATTAAGCATTATGATTAATGCAAAGAAATCTGACACAGTCCTTAGCTCAAGGAGTATATAATCTGGTTGGAAATGATAGAACTGGTTAAAAAAACACTCAATTTCTACAATAAGATTTGAATAGCTGTTCAAGGTAATGATGAGAATGCATAAGAGAAGATGATATTTTTTGATAAATGAATGAAAACGTTTGAGTCTGAAATAGTCAGAAAAGGTGTTATTCAAAGAGGTGGGATAAAATAGATCTTAATGGATGAATATAGTGATGTTATGCTGGCTGGCATATTGGTAAAATCAAAGCATGGAGACCCCAAAAGTATGAAGTATTGCTATAAACAAGTCTAGCCTGAAGTGTTCTTCTCGAGTAAATCTAGTACTGATAATATTGAGTGGTATCATCAAGCAATGGATATTATCTTTATTGTTTGTCAAAGCCTATTAAAAATATCAAAACCTGAGAGAAAACACATTCTAAGAAATTTATTATATCGCTCCTCTATAAATTTAGACAATAAATATTCTTAGGTGAGGTGCTATGCCAGTAATGTTCTCCTCCTCCATAGTAGATAAGCTGTTCATTCATGTTCACAAATGTCCCACTTTGAGGTCTCATAAATCATTGTGGAATTACATTGTAAATTATTTTTACATTTAGTGGTCTTTAGGATTCTTATTCTCACAACTTTAAATATTATTTTTATCTTTAAAACATTTACCTTTTCTTAATAATTGTGGATTTTAAGTAAAAATGTGATGCTATGCATGTCTGCAGGAAACATCATTTATTTTTGGTTGATTTTGAAAATGGTCTCCATGATTTATGATTACTCTAAATATAAAGTATTATATATATGTACAAGTAAGAGTTTTTAGTACCTGGAGTTGTAAGTAGGTGTCCTCTAATGCTTCTTGGGATAATTGTACTACTTCAATGCCATCTTCACTTATTAAAATTCCTGAGCTTCCTTTGCGATTTACGCCAAGCTAATATTTTACTTATTTAGTGAAACATAGAATTGGTATAAGAATAGGGACTTTGAACTCAGCCTGCTTAGCTTTAAATCTCAGCTCTGGCAATTATAAGTTATAACATATGGAGCCAGTTATTAATCTCCGTGTACCTAAGTTTCCTCATTTATGAAAGAGAGGACATATCCCAAAGCAGTGTTTTAAGAATGAGCTGATAGTTATACAAGTACTTATTGAGCACATGGTAAATTATGTTTTGGGTGTTTGTTAAACGAACAAAAATGCTCTTACATACTAAAAGTGCCAAACAACCTTCACCATATTCTAACATTTTATTCTAAAATAATTGCAAATTTACAGGGAAATTACAAAAATAAAACTAACAGAAGCACTAGCATATTCTTTATTCAAATTTACATTTTAACATATTTTTATTCATCATTTGAAGATGTTATATACATCATGACTCTCTACCTTTAAGTAGCTCAGTGGGTATTATCTAAGAGTAGGGATATTCTCTTACATAACTACAGTTCAGTTGTCAATTCAGTAACTTAACTTTGATACAATACTTTAATCTACCATTCTTAATACAACTGTGTCATTAACACAATAATGTCCTTTATAGTATTTCTTTCTTCAGTACAAGATCCAGCTTAGGATCAAATGATATACTGAGGAGTCATATTTCTTTACCCTCTTTTATCTGGAACATTTCCATGGCCTGTCTTTGTCTTTGATGACTGACATTTTTAAAGACTATGGTAACACTCCCCCTGCTTTTTTTTTTTTTTTTTTAATAAAAATAACCTTTCTTATTTATTTTATAATTAATATTTTTTCTTTCTTGCAACTGACAAGTCTATGACAAGATACTTCAAGACCATGCAAATACCTAGTTCCTCCTAGATTTAGCATCTATTGATAATTCATGCCTTACCTAGTCTTTAGTCTGAAGATTGAAAAATGGTGATTTTCCAACTCCAGCACTCCCTCCAAATGTGCCAGCCTTCAGCATTTTCCTAAAAGTCAGAGCTCTCCCTTTTCCTTCCTTCCTTCCTTCCTTCCTTCCTTCCTCCCTCCCTCCCCTCCTTCCTTCCCTCCTTCCTTCCCTCCTTCCTTCCTTTCTTCCTCCCTTCTCTCTCCCTTCCTTCTTCTTTGCTTTCTTCCTGCTTTCCTTCTTGCCTTTCTTTCTTTTGATATGAAGTCTATTTTTCTACATTCGAAGTAAAAGTCTATATATATTTTCTAAATTAGATTATAGAATTCTTCATTGGAAGTTATCTTAGTACAACAAACAAATTGATAGAAACAGTGTTGTTAGATTTATAAGATACTTGTGTAATTACACTTAAAACTTAGAACAATCAAAGCTAGTTGTGTACTGAAGTTAGCATTTTATGGTATTATTTACAGGCTGTATCATCAAGAGAATGGTATATATTTATACAAATACGTCTAAACAATGATTTATAATTATGGTATTTTATTTGTAATAGCTGATCTAGAGGAAGTAATTTGTCCTCTTTTATAACAGAACTTTTATTCATCTGACAGGAGAGTCAACTTGCATTTGGTATTTCCTGGGGTTGACGTTTGAAGGTTTTGTGGATGGCAGACCATTGCCCCTGGAACTGTTTCCATTTAGCATCTTAAACGATAGGAAAGTATTTTCTTCTAATTTAATTCTAGCCCTCGATGGAAGAACAGAGTACTAGAGTTAATAAGGAAGATAATTAAGAGACAACACAGGGGTAAAATTGGAGCCTCAATGGATCTTCAAAACATCCAAGGAAGCTACCTTTTTAAATGTGAACTTTAATTGAATAAATTTATATTAGTTATTTGAAGCAAGGCTTTTTTATTGAAATGTACATCATAGACTTAATCATTAGTAGAGAGTGGAAGAGCATGTTCTTTTCATAAATATGAAAGCCACTTTTCTGAATTATTCCACATGGAAATTAGGCTCTTTGTAGAGAAATAGAACACATTGTAATGTGTTGGTTGTCATACGGACAGCAAGCTGGTTAAATGGAAGCCCGAATTCTACAAACTATAGGAGGTGAATGTGAACATTAAACAACTTTTTTTCCTTTATTTTATTTTATATATTTCCTAAATTAATTAATATTTAGTTATGAGTTAAGAGAAGAGAAAGTAGACAAATTAATCTAATATTGTATATTTTCTTTTGAAAAATTAAAGTATGTTTTAACTATATAATTATCTAGTAAGATTTTGGTATAGTAATATGTGTGATTTATGACAAATACCCTTTAGCATTCAATATATTTGCTTAGAAAGTGACGTTTAAAATAACTTTTAGGATTATATATGTTCTTAATATTTCGTAGCTTGTGCCTTACTGTATACTTTCTAAAATCTACTGAGGGAAGACTACAGGGTAAGACATTCCTTAAGGATATAGTGACTTTCTTTATTTTTGATCATGTGACTATAAATAAATGTGAAATAACATATACATATGTTCATAATTATGGCATTTAGACAATAGTGGAACACCTTTACTGAGAAATTTTCACATTTAACCTATAAATTATTTCAGAGAATTTATATAGAAATGGCTGAACGGATGTGTTTAAAGCATCTTTAAAACAAATTCTTCAGCACAGAGTTGTAAGAGATTGATGAGACTCATTATTTTTCTACAAACATTTTGCTAGATGTACATGGTAAAAACATAAAGAATTATTTATCCAAAAATATTACATTTAAGAATGATAGCATTTAAGCTAGTTTTGCCTGTCTTTTCTCTCTATCCCAGGTCCTTAAATTTAAATGCCCCCACTGTCTTTTGAACACAGTTTTTACTCATCTATTTTTGTAGACTTCAATTCTCTCATGGTTGTTTTTCTCTGTAGTGGCAATGGTGCAGCATGTTTTCTTGTAATTATTTTGTAACATGTCTTTTGCCCTTTGGGATTTTCCTCAAAGTAAAATTGGACAATTCAATTGAGCTCTGCATCTGTCTTTTGAAATTGAAGATATAATGCTATCAATAAAGATGTAACTGGGGCCAACATTTTGCTGGGCTCAAGTTTTAAAAAACCCAAAATTGCCCTTCATTGTATGAGTAATTTTATCTAACTCATTTAAGTATCTGTGCTCTTGTGTAACTTCCTCTTTTTTTTTTGATTCATAGAAGTAATAGAAGCTATCATAGACACAACCTTAATTTATGCTGATTTAATTAAATTTATCTTGTGACTATAGACCAGATATAAAGTGGAACTAACGACTCTATCATAGGCAAATAACTGTGAATTATTAATTTATGGGTCATTTATTTCCTGCTTAGCAATCCTGCCTGAAAGTAATTTAGAGACTGAGATTTGAAATGGTATATTTATTTCAGAACAGTATTTTATTTAAGAAAATATAAAGGAAGACTCATTTTATAACACTCTAGGAAACAGCTTTATCTTCACTGAAATGTTATAGGATTTAAAAAATGGAGCTATTCTTTGTGGAGTTCCTCAAATAAAAAATTAATATCTAACTATAGCCTCTTTGTTGACAAGAGGAAGGATAGTATCAGTACCTTGGTATTCTAATCACCTGAAATTATTAGTAATATTAACTGAAATCTTTTAGACACTGATTTTTTACCAGTAACTGTGCAGAATGCTTATGCCTTTTATCTCTTTTCATAATGATGATTGCTCTATGAAGTAGGAGTTATTTTCTCTCTTTTACAAATGAGGGATATGAAGCTTAGAGAACTTAAGACAACACAGCAAAGTCTAGGTTCCAAGTTTTCCTGACCCCAAAAGCCTACATTCTAAATAACTTTTATATACATAATATATTTGAAAAATATTTAGTGTAGTTTTCTTTGTTTAAGATGAACCATTATTATTTTAGTACAATTCTTCAAAATTGCCCTTTTCTCTTAGAAAGCTAGAAATTTCTTCTTTGTGTTAAATAACTTTGGATATGGTAGACCCATATACTCTTTTTGATATAAGTTGTACTATAGTATTAATAT